ATCCTCAAAATTTCCACAAATGTTATCTACACATTTAGTTGACTACGTGCATATTTTGCCAAACCGATCTACAATAGTGCGGATGTGATTTTCCTCTGTAAAGGTATGATAGGCATGTACCGAAGGATTCCCGTATGGATTGCATTCGAGTCCGATGTGGGTTAACCTGCATGTATTGGATAGTAGTTGTTCAGCGTAAGGTTGCGAAAAGTTGATTCGGAATATCATTCGATAGTTATATATCATTCGTAGCGTCGCGTTCTCCCTTGAGTAGGCGTTGATGATGTTGATGGAAAAAAAAAGAAAAAAAAAGTAAAAATTAAGTAAAGAAGATATAACAGAGAAAACGCGAATGAAGACTACACGTTGTGGTATGCTAGAACGCAACGGAGAAATTTTACTTCAACGCTAGATCGCGCGAACCAAGTTTGATAGTAGTTGTCATTTTTCACTGCTGCTGTTGGGAGGTTACTTACTCAGAATAGCTTATGAATTTGTTCGCAGGAAATCGTCTATTTGCTTCGTTCAAGCGAACTATCGACTGCCATTGGGGGTAGTATATGTTAAAATTACTTTCTGTTTCGCGCGAGGTGTGGTATCATCCGTGTCACATAAGGAGACATGCAAGACATTGCAATGTCGAGTACATAACGATACCATCATAAAATATCCGATAGTTTAATTTTGTTTACGATCACATGTCGGGAATTTTCAGCCTTTGTACGGCACCTGTAAGGGCGCTTTGTGGCCCTCCCGAAGATGTGGTGGCGCAGGAGATCCTCAACCCGAAGTCGAAGTAGGAAAAAGAAGGAAGGTTTGCTCATATGCAAAAATGTTGTCATTTTCTGTGTATAGTGTAAGTGTCTGATTAAATGTTGCGAATTTTCTATTTCCTCTCGTAGTTGTGGTGGTAATAATGATGATGATAGTTGTATTGAATATGAATAGTAATGCTTTTAATGGTTTATAGACTTGCCGTTTTCCCATTCCACGCGATCTGATTATCTCAGAGATGCTCATGCAGCAGCAGTAGTGAACCCGACATTACCATTAAAGTCATTGGACTCGCCTCCTACGCCCAGCCTACCGTCGCCTGTGGCTCCTCATAACACTGTAGCGTCTTTCTCCGGAGGTAGGAAGATGAACTATATACTGCTTGTTGCGGTACATCCCTCAGGTGGAACATTTGATTCTGGTGGCTTGGACCTTCCTTATGGAGTTTTGATAATTCCGAATGAGCGACTTTTGGTGAGCTTATTATCATTAGAATGTAGTTGATGATGGATAATTCAGAATTCTGGATACAGCGGAGTTTCACCCGTGATATAAAAAACACTAGTGAAAACACATTTCATGAGTATTGCAACTTGCAATTTGCCCGAATGCAATTTGCAAGGCGCAAATATCGCGTTTTTCACGGAGTTTTCACGGCGCCACTTTACGTAAAACGGGTCGTGAAACTCCAATGTAATCGAAAAATGAGACATTTTCGATTTCGACGGCGTTGAACAATACAGTTAGCGGCTCACTTGAGTGTTATGTATACGAGAGTGTATTCTTGTCTCAGCCATCTTCAGCCCCAGCATGCACGATGATTCGAGTGAGGCTCGCTAAGAGGATTCCGAATGATAAGTTTGGCTTTGTGCATCAACCAGTGTTTGGTGATGAGGAGGAGGAGGAGCTCACTTGCCTCGAGGTGACATTTACGGTATGGCAAGTTGAGTGTTTACAGCATACTGGTAGATCGTCACTATTGTGGAGGGACAGTTGTTGGATAAATGGAATAAAACCCAGGCGGAGGGGACTAGGGTAACGGAAGGCTCTTACATCACTGCGGTAGGTCGTGTTATTGTGGTGACACTAGTAACTGCAGTGTCACCATCATCATGTTGCACATTATTCTGTTGTTGGTTCTGTGTGCGTGGGTTTAAAGTCCAACGCTGACAGTGTGGGAATATATGTTTGGTCACCTCAACTGAGCTCGTAACTTCTCTCAACACACTATAGAAATTAACACACGATTTTGAGTAGAAGTATAGAAAAACGAACTATAATTTCCTATCAGAATTTCCCTATTTTCACCAACACATGTAGTTGACCATGTACATATATTCTTACAATGAACAGCGACAACACAGTTTAGTTGAACTTGCATCGTTTTATGCCTATCGAATCTTCACTTCAAGGAATGTTGTCCACGGGGGGAGTTTTGCAACCCTGATTTCAACGATGGTGTTTTCTTGCTGTTTTCATGATCTCAGGTCAACGGCGTGAAGTTGAATTCGGAAAAGATGAGAGCTGAGTTGAAGCATGACAGTGTCGACATGGAGGTCCATGTGCCCGTCCGTTCCTCATGATGATACATACTGCTGTTGTCGTTTAATATTCGTTGTTGAAAGACTCTGGTTGTGTTGTGAGTGGAGAATATTCCATTCTAGGGTGTTGATCTTATTTGCGATGAAGTTCGCTGAGAGATGGTATGGCATT